TCAATGTTCATTACATTTAGAAAGTTATGACAAAGTTTGGTAGTGGTTTTTTAAATAGTATTTAAAAGATTCAGTGAATAATTCCGTGAAGCATATGACATTAATCATCAATAAATACACGATATTTCGATATGCAACCACTTGATTAAGCGTTTTTGGGGATGTTGGATAATTCCGAGAAAGCCATTGGGTAGTATAGTACTACGAAAATGGTAGTTAAACTTGTGCCATTTGTCACTAGAATATCTAAAATGTCAGCAAAAATCAAACAATATTTATCAAATTTTATGAAATAGATATATTATTTCAGTGTTAAATATTTTGTAGTTTGTATGTATGTATATACTTACTGTGAAAAGCATGAATAAAATACATAAAATATTTAATATTCTGAATGTCAAAAAACTTACAAATTCTGTCTGTTTGTCCTTGTGTTGAAGGTGTGCTTGGTGTAAATGTAATGTGCATACTTTCTATTAATTACCAACTACAAACTCTGCATGAATATAATATAAAAGAAAAGCATGAAATATTTTTTAAGTATACTATGCATTACAAAAGCTTACCCTTTATAAGTACTTCCTAACATTTATTTACAGTCTGCCTCACATTTTCAAGTTGTGTATTCTAAAATGGTTTAATAATTTATAATATAAATATTAAAACATGGAGATTTAACAATATTTTACCTGTCCTCTATAAGTCGAACATCAAGGCAGATGCCAAAATTTCAAGTTATAGTGAATTTGGACTTAAGCAGATTTTGATTCGACAAACTGAGGTTGAGATTCATTCTTTTAAATTTTGGGTTAAAGAGATAAAATAAATAAAAATTTTATGTGTTCAATCTTCATTCTTTTGACAACTCTTCACAGCTTCAAGCACTTTTCTAATTTTTCAGTGAGACTCGGTTTTCAGTTTATGTTTCACGACACTCATGTTTCAACAATTTTATTTGTATTACAGAAGAACCAAACAACTTCTGACAATATTTCACTCCATAACAAATGACTTGCTTCGCTAAAATTCAAATGAAATCAAAAATAATAAAATTGACCTGACACCAAGCAAGCAAACAGTTGTTAACATGAGTCATAAAGTCATGGTTATTCTATTCATTGTATATTCCTAAATTGCTTTCTAAGAAACAATGGTGTACTTACACTGTCAGTGAGTTCTTAAAGTCGGTAACTTATTTTTACTTGAACTCAAATAATCGAGTTGTAAAATTGTTATGTTAAAGATACAGAGGTAAAATTTTATTTTTCTAGTTATAGAGGGAAAATATGTACCAAAATAGTTTGGAGATACTCACTGATTATTTGACTAACAGAGGGTTGAGATTTTGAGTAATGGAAGCTTTGGACTCAACATTTTTTCAAGATTTGGAGGTTTTAAACTTATCAATGTTCAAGTTAATAAGGTTCTACTGTATGTTAAGTTAATATTGAAGGACTTATAAATGCAGGAATTCTATGCTCAATATCTGGGTTCATTCCACTGTTTATTAACATGTTCCTTAAACCTTGCATCAAGTTTTATCGCTTTGGCTAAAGCGGGAATGCTCAGTAAGGTTCATCATGTGGGTCCAATAGTACTTTTTATATTTGCCATAGTTTTATATCTACTGAAAAAGACAAATTTTAATATTTACGTTTGTGGTCAGCAGTATTTTATATTTAAGTTTATTATTTAAAGCTGAATTAAAAGTGTTTCTTACTTACCTCACTATTATGTGTCAAATATTAAGTTGCGAGTGCAACATCCTAAGTTTAACCTCTTGTTAGAGGGTATTGTATAAATATATTTATTTATTTATGATCAGATATGCAAATGTTTAGCAGTTTCTGTTGAGAAGATACTGGCAAGAAACTCAACTGTTGCTCTTTTTCAAAAGTATCAGCTCAGTTTACACTATAACATACAGTTATAATAGTCTTATTCTAGCCTACGTGAGTATCAACTGTATTAATTCCACACATTAGCGTCGTCGAGATATTCCGTAATGGTATTCGGTAATTTAATATATATTTAATTAATCAAAGTATGCACCGTTGTTATCTACGCACTTTTGTCATTTCATAGGTATTTCATTGATCCCTTTTCTAAAAAAAACATGGGGGCGAGAATATCAATAAACTCTTTGGCGGTTTGGACTACCGCATCGGAGTTGAATTTTTCTCCTTGTGAGAAGTTGTCCAAATTCCGGCAAGAATGGTAATCTGTTAGAGCAAGGTCCGGGGAGTACGGTGGATGTCGCAGACATTCCAATTGTAGCTCGTCTAACTTTGTGGTTGTTTGTTGTGCAGTGTGTGGTCTTGCGTTGTCGTGATGCAGCAGCCTAGAGCGATTGACCAATCTCGGTTTAGCAGCTAGTGCTTCCTTCATGGTTCGCAATTGCTGACAATAGATATCTTTTTCTAAGTCAATTTTGGTTTACGGCAGGATTTGGCTGGGTCTCCAGGGTTCAGCCATTGCGACGAGCGCTTCCGATTATCGTACAGTATCCACTTTTCATCCCAAGTAATGATTCGATTTAAAATCCCCTCATTATTGTGTCGGTTGAGCAGCAGTCGACGAGTGTTTGCTCGTAAGTTCGATTCACTCAATTCATGAGGTACACATCGTTCAAGTTTTTTTACTCTTTCCCGATTTGCTTCAAGTGGATTAATACAGTTTCATCACTTACCCCGAAGCCTGCAGCTAGCTCTGAAGTGCTTTGTGATGGATCCGCTTCCACAATAACCTTTAATTCTTCATTTTCTAATTTGGTCTCCGGCCATCCATGGCGTTGGTTCTGAAGGTCGTAATTTCCAGAACGAAAATATTGAAACCAAAAACGTACCGTGCTTTCTTTTGCGACACCAGCGCCGTACACATTCGAGCTGTTGCAGCACTGGTGCCACGGTAGATCCCGTACTCGTAAATATACCGATATTTCATGTTTTCCATTCTGCGGTCATAAGCGACGCCAAAGACTAAAATAATGAGGAAGAAACAAATGAATGACTGTTTTCAAAACTCAAATGTACCAGCTAAATTAATTTATTAATTTGAATTTGGAATTCTTAAGCAAAGAGGAGATATTTTAGCTCAAAGTGGCCAGTACGACAAAACGCTAATTTCATATGTAAGGACTTAATAAATCCAGAAATGTTTAGTTACCCAAAATGTTGGAATATTCAATTTAGGTGTGGCTTCCTGCATGTGTGAGTAATAAGACTGCAGTTTTTTATTTAACTCTGTTTTAATGCGTTTAAAATGCATTTCGTAGTCGGTATATTACTTGTCATGTAAAATATTCGAACCCTATAAAATGTTGCATTGCATTTTCCCGTGTAAAGTGTCAATATTATTCCCACGCATTTGTCTTCTATTTCGCACTCGTCAGTGAAATTTTCAATATCCATGTTGTGGATTAATTGTTTAATTCTATGAAGTTAGTTCTCTGCTGACTTATCAAGTTGTCAGCTTTAGAGTCCTGGGGTAAAGCTCGGAAGTTATGCAACATGATTTTCGTCCCTAAAGCCTTAAATAAATAAATGTTTTACTTATGTATTAAATTAAAAGCTGGTAAAATTTAATGAGTTACCTAACATCCATCATTAAAAAAATAAATTATTGACAGAAAATACATGAAACAGCTTATATTGCATGAAAATGAGGTTTTGACATAGCACTGACAGCTCCAACTGGCTTTTTGTTTTACACTATTACAAAGGTCCCGTCATTTCTGAAAATAAAACGAATGTTGATAATTTAAATTACTACAGATATTCTTTAGATCTGTTTCCATCTGTCTATTGTTTTCACTCGACCTCCAAGATTGTTCAGTGTATCCACCTACTGCAGCCACTAACGCTCCAAATCAATTTTTCCTTGCAGCCCATCGCCAAGACCTGCAGCACACAATATTTATTATTGACTTTCATAAAGTCAATCAAATGATTGAATTGGGTTGAGGAGGCTTTAACTTTCACTATTGGTATTGAGGAGTCTATAAAAAATAAATTGGAACACAACTCTGTTTTGCGATGGCTTCACTTCTATTTGTGGAGAAGAGTAAATACCCTTTTGCAATATTTACGATTTACTTAGGCAATTTCCGCACAAAAGAGTTCGAAAAATCTAACAATCACGAATCTATCAGTGATTCAACGCGACTTTGAAACGTTGAAATATTGACAGCTCAACTCACACGAGTGTCATGTTCATTCCCCGCGATTTCGTTCAACATGTCATACGGCAAGGCAATTTTGCACATGGTGTAAGTTTTCAAGAAATCGACGTGCGAAGAAAGTAGTCGCTAAGTTTAAGAATTAGGTCGCAGATGTCATAAATTGATGGTTGTTTAACTCTTAAGTTCATTCCACAGTTCATTTATTGTTGTCAAGTTTTCAAAAGCTGATGTTGGTTCTCTTCAATAACTTGATTGAATGATGTCCTTTTGGCGTTGTAACACGCCATCCATTGTAAGAGTAAAAAGGAAAGATCTTACTTGTCAAAACTGTAGCTTTAGATTGTCAAGGCCCGTGTGCGTGACCAATGGAGATGTCAGGATTGGCGGTAGATATGGCAGTTCACACCTACTTTTCTGAGCAAACAAGGCCAATATGTTGTTGTCGAAAGTCAGGATGATATCCCGACGCATTGTCAATGTCAATTTAAATGCACTGTACTCCATTGTCAAGTACTATACCAAACTAAACCACACGTCCGTGCTATTATTTATTCATTTATTCGAAGGACCACAAAAAAAGTGGTGGATACTGTGTGGACCACTACACGTTTATATCAATGTGGGATAGGTGAGCTTATGTATGTCAATTGGGTGACGGTTAAGAATGTCAAATAAACCGACGCATACGAGCAATTGCAGGCGTTAAAATGTTGTCCGTGCAGTTTTATGATACAATACAAAATGTACGGTTTTGTTTGTAAAACATCAGTTATCGTTCATATCTAACTGACTTATACATTTGTCAATCTCGTCGAGTCTAAGGGCTGGGACAGGCTTCCGAGCGCGAGACAGGTCGTTGCTCCGACGCATGGGACACGCGGTGGCAATGCTTGGCAGCGGGTGCTGCAGCTCTACTAACTTCACTTAAGGACCCACTGTTAACAATTTGCCTTATTGTTAAGCAGATGTCTCGGGATACTGAAAAAATCTCTACGCGGTGTACCCATCACTCGTATACCTAAAGCCCGCTTTGGGAATATGGGGGAACGACCCCAGTTCTATTTTAAAAGCCTCTTGTATTCTCTTCTTTGCTTCAGCAAGGATTTCTTTGTCTTCTGCAATTATGATCGTCCATTTTTATATGGGACGTTTTTACGCTAATTCTGGAGATAAGCTAATTCTGCATGCAGAATAAACAGCACGAAGCTCAGGGATTGAAGATTTTCTTCTTTTTTCTTATTTCTGACATTAGTCTTTTGAGGTAAAACTGCAAGTATAACACGACATTGTTGATTTCATAGCAGTGGCAGATGACAAAACGCTAATTTCATATGTGAGGACCTAATAAATCCAGAAATGTTTAGTTACCCAAAATGTTGGAATATTCAATTTAGGTGTGGCTTCCTGCATGTGTGAGTAATTAGACTGCAGTTTTTTATTTAAATCTTTTTTAATGCGTTTAAAATGCATTTCGTAGTCAGTATATTACTTGTCATGTAAAATATTGGAACCCTCTAAAATGTTGTCATTTTCCAGTGTAAAGTATCAATATTATTCCCACGCATTTGTCGTCTATTTCGCACTCGTCAGTGAATTTTTCAATATCCATGTTGTGGATTAATTGTTTAAATCCTATGAAGTTAGTTCTCTGCTGACTTATCAAGTTGTCAACTTTAGAGTCCTGGAGTAAAGCTCGGAAGTTATGCAACATGATTTTCGTTCCTAAAGCCTTAAATAAATAAATGTTTTACTTATGTATTAAATTAAAAGCTGGTAAAATCTTAAGTACAGAGATTAGCACTATAAACAATTTAAATTTCTAAATTTCTGGTAAAATTTAATAAGAACACAGCTCTGTTTTGCGATGGCTTCTCCTGTCTTAGAGGAATTGACTCAGTAAATCTCCCATTCATGTCGCGAGAAGTTGTATTATTAAGCGATTCTTCGCAATAGGTATCTTCAGATGAAGAAACTTTTGTTATTGGTATTTCTTCAAGATCCCAAAATTTTGATAGTTGATAAGAATCAATAAGAATATTTTTTTTTAACTATGAAAAATGACATTACATTGATGTGCTTGAAGTATTACCGTGGCTTGAAGTATTACCAATTGGGCCAACCAAAATCCATCATAGTTTTGTCTGCGTCAGTACAGGATTTGACTATCCTAATTTTATTCGTTTAGATTCGATAAGGTCCCAGAAGATGTCTGAGCCTAGCAAAATGTCTACTTCTGACGGATGATTAAATTGGGGATCAGACAGATCATGATTAAATACTTAGGGATGTCGAGCCGTGATGTTATATCCATGTTTGGAAGTTTGTCTGTAATAACAGGAACTACATAACATTTCTTATATAAAGAATTGATAGTAAGATTTCAATATCTCTTGATTTTTAATAATTCATTATTAACCTATGGACGTTCCATTTTTGTTACACTACTACGGACGGGCCTCACTGACCGCTATCTTTAACGCGCGGGTTTACTCTTGAAAGTTTAGTTTCATTTTTTGTTTTAATACCTTAGACGAGTAACTCTAAATGTAAATAAAAGATGTAATGTTAATGAAAAATCTATATTAAACTAAATTTAACGATATAACAATCAAAGGCACATTTCAGGCTTATGATTGTTATATCGTTAGATGACCACAGGAAAACGACTTATTTTATTAGTTTATCTTCTTTAAATTTCTTTTCTTTTACTTTTCTTTGACAAAGAACTTAAAAAACGTAACATAATCTTCTCAAAACTAAACATAAACATTTCAATAAGGGCCCAACTTGGTTATATTTCTTGGCAGTCTTTGCATAGTTTCTTAGAGCCTTGAGGCATATTGGCTGTTTACAGCCTGAATAAGTTTGGGTCGTCTTTCGGTGATTTGGTGGGCATAGTTTATACGTCTTATGTCTAGGAACTGTATTTTCTTCACTTGGTGGCTCATATCATGGGATGGCATATCAAGGCCCAAAACTCGTTTCAGCGTCATAACTAATTCATTTGGCAAATAAGCGTTTATAACTCGTCGTTGCTTATGTGGAACCACCAGCTATCGTACTAATTTCTCGAAATTTACCTCTTTCTAGTTCTTTGTCTTGCCGTTGATTGAATAAAGTATAGACATTAATTCCACACAAGTCCAGAACTCTTTGGAAAATCACCATAGGCCCTCTTGTTCGTCGACTGTTCGAATGAATTGAACATTTTCATCTATATAAAAGTAAAAGGTCTTCGCATCACACAAGGCACGAATAAGTAGGAAATATTTACCGGGCTTCTGGGGCATGTTGCTTCTTCCACGAAACTCCACTTGCATCTTTGTCAATAGTAACATACTCGCTGAATTGATAAAGTTGTTGAGAATTAGCTACTCTAATCTACTTTTCTTCGATGGTCCAGGCTGTGGCTAAGAAACTAAATCAACGTCAAATGTGAAAGTTTGAGGAATGAAAGGAGTTAAAATTAGAGTCATAGTTGGAAGTTCATCTTCGAATTCATTTTCTTCCATTAAATTTGACATTTCTATAATGTTGCTGCATGTTTCGCCAGAACAATGGAGGCATACTGTAGAGGATTTCAGGCCTACTTTTCTGCAGCCACACATGCTTCCACAGTTTCCTTTGCATCTGCAGAAAATTAAATTAATTTTTTCGAATAGTAAAACACCCCTTAGCAGTGAACGAGTGGTATTCATCAGGTGTCATTATTTGATCAATATATCTTGCAATTGAAGTTGACTTGACTTATCATAAAAGAAATGTCCACTGGCATAAAAATTGGAAGTATTGTCCTTATCGTTTCCAAATGAAGAGACCAATTTCCAGATCGTTCTGCTTCGATAAAATGTTTTAAGAGAGTGACTAATCTGTAGTATTGTATCCATAAGGTTGCAGTTGTTCCTTTACTCCCCAGCATGGTCAAAGATTATTAATCGATTATAAAACGTTAGTTCAATGCTCTTTGTCTTGTCATCCGAAAGTTTGAGAACAAGGTCCAAAATTGTTTTTTTTGTACCTTCATGAAGTACATTACTTATCTTCCTCTGACAGCTTTGAAGTCACTCTAATCCTGGAATACTTCGCCGCAAATAAAGCAATTGTTTCAGAAATCAAAATCAGTATCTAGATTTTCTGATACTGAAGATGATGAACTGCTGCAGCTGAGATGACGAACAACATTATCTGTTCGACTATCACTATAATAATGATAGCAGGGAATATGTACAGTTACTTCAGAAACACTATGTAAAAATAATTCATTGTCCACATCGTTTTAAATTTTGCTAGCTCAAGCAAAACTTCACTCCTCTAGTTTTCACAGTTCGAACTTTAATGTCCCCAAAATATTTTTTACATATAAAACAATCACACCCATTAGTACGCAAATCATCTGGTGGACAAACTGATCCAGTTTAAGGAGCAGTATTATCAGTAGCAACAGCTTGACTTAACTGTCTGTTCAGTTCCTCTTCATTTGCCAAAGTAGACAACTGAATGTCAATTTCTCGCAGGTCTTGGTCTGGCGCTGGCAAATTTTCAAGAGGTATATTTTGTATTTGGTTGTGCGTTTAATCAGATTAACAATTTCGTTTAGCATTTCATCACCTGTATGCCGATAAAAACAGTTTCATCTTCATTTTGAATGTTCTCAAAATATTTACCCGGATTAGTCAAGTTCTGTAGTGTTGTTGCTTCAGTTAGTCTTCTTTTTGCGTATCGTTTGCTCAATGCAGTTGCCATTTTGTTACTTAGTGGTGTCTTCGTTTCATCTATTTTCTTCAATGCAAATTTTAGGGAAACATCAGCTGTAGGTAATGTTGCATTGAAATAGCGCCTCGACGACAGTTTTAATAACATCTAATATTTTATGGATCTCATCTATATTTCTCCAGTCATCATCAGTAACTTCAATGTCTGTTTTTAAATCAATTAAAGCTTTTGTAATAGATATTTTCAATTTCAGAAACCGACCTAACATGGCAGAAATGCTACTCCAGCGCATTTTCCTGTCTAACAGCAGGGAGTACTCCTGTCCAAAATCAGCTCTGACATGTTTTTGAAGGATGTAAGCGCTTTTCATTGGAGATTTCTTGAATATTTTTACCACTTTTCGTACTTTTGATAGCAGATCGTTGTATCTAAAAGACTGTGAACTGAAAGACTCCATAAACGAGGATTCATTATTAAATTCAATACCATCGTTGTCATTGTCTGTACAATTCGTGTCTTCGTTAAATTCTACAGTTCGCAGTCTTTGAGCCAATACTGATAAAGGCAAATCTTCATCCTCGTCAAGTTCGACAAGCTGAGCGACGTTTTCCTCGAAGCCGGCATTGCATTTGTACATTACGTCCACAATCGCCATCTGAACAGCATGAGCGATGCATAGCTGATGGTATGACTTAATGGACTTCCTTAATGCAACCATTTGGCTGCAACCGTCTGTGGTTTGAGCGACGATGTCATATGTTAGAGATACCCCATATTCGTCCAACTTGGCCTCAATCAATTGTACGCATGAGGCTGCATTCATGGACCCGTGAATGCGTAGGAGACCTAGATTTGGAAAACTGATATCCCTTGCAAATTTGGTGAACGTAAAATGAGCCCTATATATCTTCTATTTTTTTTGGATGTCCATTCATCGAATGATATCGAAAACTTCTTTTCATTTGACATAATTTTTACCTCGTTCATTATTTCTAGCTTCCTTTTATCAGTCTTTGAGAATTATGTTGCGAACGGTATCAGCAGTAATGGTTAATTTGTTGCCAGTCTTTTCAAAAAGGTACTTTGAATCTTGAGATTTTGAGAACGTTCTTAGAGGAATTCCATCAGCAGCAATACGAGACACCATAACCTGCATACTTGGGTTTGCATCAGTCTCAAAATAGTGTGTCAACTTAGTTTTCTTTTTTGGCGCTTGAGCTTGAGCTGTTGTATCGATTGTTGAATGCCTTGCAGCGTCTATATCAACCGTGTGAATATCCTATACATGTCTTAGTAGACTGCTAGTACTACCACCGGCTGATTTCAATACTTTTTGGCATGTTTTACATTTAGCTTCATTTTTGTTTTTGTTTCTGAGAAAATATCCTATCCATCCTTACTAGTTACTACTCCAAAATCCATATTTCATTGATTTATGGTTAACGAAGGGAATTCATCTTAAAGGAAAATTAGTTTTATTATAATAATAGCAATCGTATTTTTTCACGATGTAATGCTTGCATGCAACGGCTGCGAAGCCGTAGCTATTTATGGTTAGTTAGCGCTAGTGTTACATTAAATGTAGTCTCATATAACAAAAACAGAAAGCAAAATAAGACAAAATTAAAAAGCAAGAAAGACATTAAATAAAAAAATCAGTATTACAAAAACGAAAGAAAAAATAAAATAGAAACAATGAAATTGGTTACAAATACATGCTTGAGCTGTATGTAAAATATTAGTGGGTTATTTGTGGTCAGTATAGTTAGGCCCGTAAGTGTGCTTGATTATTCTTCCAATTATATGGAAACTTAAGCGCTGAACTATTGTGTTGAAAGATGTTGAGTTCCTAATTGGTAGAGGGAGGCCATTCCAGCACTTAGTAGCAGGAAATCAGAAACTACCACGGAAAGAAACTGTACGAAACAAATGAGCCGCGACGCTGATCTAACACAACGATATGAAAATGTTAGCTTGTCGAATAAATACGAAGGTTCTTTGTTCCGTATGACCCCAAAAAGCAATGTGGCGAGATGAAGTTTACTTCGAGTGGTCATATTCATCAAATCGTAGTTTCTAATATAATATATGACCCTCAAATCGTAACTCTCCATCTATCACTAAGCCAAGGTTACGAACTTCCAATACAGGTTCTAGTAAACGACCATCGATAAATATATGCGGATTTAAAGCAAGGATAAAATCCGTTTGAATACGATTTGTCTGTTGTTTTGTTTTGTTTGTTTTTTTGATTTGTCTGGGTTGAGGACAAGATTGTTGAGGTTACTCCAATTATTAAGAACTTTAACTGCGTTTACTATCTTAGTAGCATTATTGGTGTCATTAGGCTTTAAAGACATATATAATTGAAGGTCATCGGCATATAAGTGTTATTTACAACACTTATAGCATTAACGATATCTGCAATGTATATAATAAACAATATCGGTCTCAAAATGGAACTCTGTGGTTCCCCTCTGGCAAGTGGCATTGTGGCCGATGTCATTTCAGACCCATAGTTATTGTCAATTTTGACATATTGCTTACGGTTAGAAAGATAACTCGCAAACCATTTTATTGTAGTGTACTTGAACCGTAGTGAACAAGTTTAAAAGGAAGTACCGTCGGGTTTAAGGTGTCCAAAGCGCGGGAAAAATCGAGCATAACCAATAAAGTACTTTCTTCTACATCTTGTGCTGTTAAAATGTCGTCTACTACATCTATCAAAGCAGTCGCGGTCCTACGATATTTTCTAAAGCTGAATCTCGGCTAGGTCCAGTCTGTTGAGGTTAACGGGTTCCTGGAGAGCAGGCGGTGTGGGTTTATTTGAATTGTCGGTAATTGAATATTCGGGAACTTCAGATAAGTTATTTCCTTTCCTCGGTTTTGGTATTTATTTAGCTTTAGATCTTTTATACTAACTTCACAGTCGTCGTCGTCGTAAGTTCCGACGAACAGGTTCTTGTGAAATTTCGTCGTTGTAATACTTGGTCAACAGTGTCTCCGTTTTAGCGTAAATAATCCATCGGTTTGGTTGTATTAGATATGTTATTACGTCATCTATGGTCACGGATACTGGCTGACAGGAAGTAATGTTTATGAAAAACTTCATAAGATCAGTGATGCAATCATCTTCTAGCGGCGGTATATTATTTTCAAAGCATGGGAAGCGGGCTTGGTTGATTTCGCAGCATGGCTAAGAGAGTATCATTGCTTTCAACCCTATCACAAGGGTATAAGGATATAGATAGGTATTATAGATTAAGGCAATCTGTATGATTAATGCAAAATGGATCTACAATTGCGACGACGTCACCGAAACCTGTCTGTCATCTGTCACTTGCCATATAATTTGTCTCTCTCTTTCATCGCCTAAGTCTTGACTTTCTAGAAATAAATTATTACTTTTTTAAATAAATACCTCAAAGTACAATAAATAAAAAATGAACTATCTATTAACATCAGGTAATCATAACAATGCCACCAATGTTCCAAAAAAATCCGTGTCGATGCGTGTTTCGTGCCTATGTGTCCATCGGCTTAAACAATATTCCCAAATAGTTAAGTGCGAAGAAGGATGTGGTAAGGTCAAAAAAATTGCAAACCTACGGATTCACATTGAAAGAGAGAAGATCAGAAGACTGCGCGAGTTTGTTTTTCTTAAGGCACACGGCTGTGTTGATTATTTTTTTTAATACCCAACATAGACTATGCTATGATCATTTATAGTGCTTTTGTCAATTTAAAATCAGCGTTAATTAAAATTGAATAAAAAGCTGTATTAAAAAACAGGGTTTTGTTTTATATGTCAAACAACTTGAGAAAAATTAAAAATATGGTGAAATGTTATATATATATATAATATTTCGGGAATACAGCATCTACCTAGAATTTCATCGCAGAAAAAGTCCAAAATAGATATGATGCTGTTATCAAATGGCGCATAATACACATCCACTTCTTTAGATTTTTCAAAATTTGGCTTTGCTACACAGAAAATTGCATTTTTTTCGTCTTCTGATTTAGATATAACCGATAGCGCTGTCGCCACAATATTGCCTTGTTGCCACAAAATTGCCTTGTTACCCTGAAATAACTGCTAAATGTAGAAGCTTCTGAATGAAATACAGTCTCACTGTGATTTGTACATACCGTAACATTTTAATCCCTTTCATTTCTACACTTGAAAACTCTGCACTTTCAACAAAAAAATTTGTAACCATGTCAACACTAACTTCCGGTAAATTTTTGGAGTCTGCTTTTATAATCCCAACCTCCGTTTTTATTCAAAAATACAATTAAATTTCAAAAAACAAACAATGTTTACCTTTCCAGTGTTAATCTTTATAAGCTGTCAAAACAGGAATGACATCACTAGAAGCTGATTGGAAATTGGGTTTTAAAAAACGATCCGTTTCACGTTACTTTAATCCGTAATATTTGTTAAAAATCTATAAAAAAAACAAAATAAAAATGTTGCAGTGGCCAATTTTTATGATTTTTTAACATTTTAATCACAAAATATTAAATCTGCATCTTCCCTATTGTAGCTCATCTAACTTAGTTGTTGTTTGTTGTGCAGTGTGTGGTCTTGCGTTGCCGTGAAGCAGCAGTGGCCTAGAGCGATTGATTAATTTCGATTGTTTAGCAGCTAGTGCTTCCTTCATGGTTCGCAGTTGCTGACAAAAGATATGTGCGGTAATCGTTTGGCCAGATTTTAGAAAGCTGTAGTGAACGACATCGGCGCTTATCCACCAAACACTGACAAGTAACTTTTTCTGAGTCAATTTTCGTTTCGTTCGGGGGGTGTAAGTTGCTCGCGTCCGTAGGATTTACCACCTTATCCAAGGCCCACCCTACACGTGTCCCCCGGATGGTGCCAAACGAGCAAAAACGCCGAGTCTTGGGCGGCGGTAAAGTAACCCGATCTGACGAGTCTAAAAAGCTCGAAGGTAGGAAATAACCTCAACAAACCAGTACCTCGTGGTCATGTTTCGGCTTAATCGAACCACGAGGAAGACAACCTCAAAAATATATCACCCCAATCCTAAGTTGAGGACTGTGTCGAGAGGATGAATGGCTGGAGGGATTCCAGTTCCGAACACCAACCTCGATGGACCAGGCTAACATCGTTGTAAAGTGCCTTCTTACATGGTATGGGCGTAACCTGAAAGCGACCACATTAAATCGACCCGAACTCGTGGGAACCAAAATGGATTCTCACAATAATAATTGTAATATTTTACAATCGTTAAAGTTATTTAAATTACAATACAATGATTTATCCTTGGTTATACCTATATAATTTGAATTTGGTAGTATAGTGGCATATGTGTTAGCATTACGAAGATCGTGGGCTATAGGTAATGGGATGCTATGGTAAAGTTCGAAAGATTCGTGGTTCACTAATGGGACTTTTAACACATATTCTATTTTATTGTGAGAATAGTAACTAATCATTGTCGATGTATTCATTAAGACGTATATTTTCCAGTTCCAATGATTTTGGAAGTTCTCTAGGGCTTGGTAATAAGTAATGATTGGAAGTAAGTTCATCATAGAGTTGTTTCGGGGAAACAATGGAAGGGTCGAAGTTAAAGTCCAATATCTTTATTCATTATAGAAGCATTACACTTACTTATTGTCAAAAAACTCTACTACCGGTTCGGACCTGAGAAGAACCGGCGTGAGAAACGCAGTGGTTAATTTTTTTAACTTGACAAAAAAATAACAAACGTGTACAATTTATTAAATTCCATTTGTAATAGCCTGGGGCGATCAATTCATTTCCAGAGTGTGTTATCATTCAAATAATCACTAATA